CAGGAACCCGCCCCGCCCCGCCCCAGAGACCAGGCCCACGCCCCCATGGCCCGCCCCGAGGAGTTACTTCCTTTTTTATTTTTAATTTCAGAGAGGAAGGGAGAGGGGAAAACATTAATAATGAGAATCATTGATCAGCTGCCTCCTGCACACCCCTCACTGGGGACTGAGCCTGCAACCCCGGCTTGTGCCCTGACCGACCGGCAATCACACGGTGACCTCCTGGTTCATAGGTCTACGTCTAAGCTTAACCACTGAGCCATACTGGCCAGACTATTTCCATTTTTTAAAAATGTTTTTATTGATTTTATTTTTAGAGAGAGAGGAAGGGCGAGGCACAGATAGAAACATCCATTGGCTGCCTCCTGCATGCCCCCTACTGGAGACAGAGTCTGCAACCCGGGCATGTGCCTAACGGGGAATTCAACCCAGGACTTCTTGGTGCACAGGATAACCAACTGAGCCACACGGGCTGGGACGAGTTATTTCCTATTGTCATTCATTTACTGTATTTGATTGATTGAAACTCCTCCTCCCCCATTGAAGAAGCAGAGGCCCCAGCCTGCCCTTAAAGCAGACCGAGAGCTAATAGTGCCAGGGTAGTCAGGGTCAGGCCCAAGTTCACACTGGTTCTCCGACTCTCAAGTGGCACCCTTGATGCTGAGTTCCAGACTGTGCTCGGTACTTTACATGAGTTAGCCCTAAAAACACACTGGGCCTCAGATACGCCCATACACACCCAGCCCGTCCTCTACCCTTCACAGAAGTAAATCAACCCTTGGCCTTCTTGGGGAAGGAAGGAATCATAGCATCATTTAGAGACTCCTCTGCAAGTCCATTCTGCAGGAATCAGTAGTGGGTAATCACCCAACCTCTAGGCAGCCAAGGAGCAGCGGCTCCCTGAAGCTTGCCCACCAGGATTGGCCTTCCACCTGCTGCTGGGGCAGAGGCCTGGGCGACAGAGGTAGATGGTGAGACATGGCCCTTCAGGAGCTCAGGTGGCTTTTTAACTGCACTGTAAAGGTGACAAGCTCCTTGGAGTTCAGTGTCCATACACGATGAATGAGAACAGGTGTCAACAGTGTCAACCAGGTCCGCAAAGGGGAGAAGAAAAAAGCTAGGGTGCCATACGCCCTCTGAAGAAAGTAGCAGGCATAAATCTGCCAGATGTATAGCAGTAGCACAAAAAAGTAAACAGGAATAATTTTCAAGTATTTTCCTTGACGGAGATGAGACCTGAAGTTGTGACCATAGCACCGCTGCAGCAAGCTCCAACACAGGTAAGCCATCAAGGGGATGTTAAAAAATGCCAACTGGAAAGAGGAGAACATCATCATTAGTTTACGAGCAAGCCCTCAGAGGAGTCAGGGCCAGGGCTCACTAATACATTAGGTAGCTCCTAAGAATATGTTGCTTTCCCTCTTGGGGGGTTAACTCTCTGATTCTTTATGCTTCAATCACACTTGCTTATATCACAACAGTTGACTTATGGTTAGTTGTATATTTGGGCCTGTATCCTTTCATTCATTTTAAAGGCAAGTATCACTTCACTTATCTTGAAGCCCTTGATAATGTTTAAGGAGGAAATGAACTGAATATGTCTGCATACACACACTCACATGCTTTTTTGGCAGAGGGAGGGGGTTACTTGGGTATCAATATTTTTTTTATCTCTGTATTTTTATTTGAAGTACCATGATGATTACTGGAATACAAATTAGAAGGTTTAAGTTATAATCCAGGTTTAGCTGCTGTACCATTCATTCATCATCCATTATGTGGCAAGCCCTGTGCAACACGTTAGGCCTGGGCCATACTGGTAAACAAGTCAGAAAAGATGCATTAGAGAGCTTGCATTCTAACAGGGATAACGCCCCCTCCCCTCAAAAAAATTAGTTAATTACAGAGTTTGAGAAATTCTATAAAGAAAATAAGAGGGTAAATGGAGACGGACTCTCTGAGGCCTGAAGTACAGGAATGAGTCAATGGGAGGAAGTGCATTCCTGGAAGAAGGAGCAAATGAAAAGCCCAGAGGTAAGTGAGGTCTTGGCCTATTTAAAGCCAATGGCCTAAAACATGATGAGCCAGGTGGAAATTTGGGCAATCAGCAGGACCCCGATCATGTCACTGCTCTGCTTAAAGCAGAGGTGGGGAGCGTCCAGCCTGCAGGTCGTATAAGGCCTGTGAAATCATTTGGTCTGGCCCTGCCAAGGCCTTAGAGGTGAGTTAAATGTTTGACCAAGCATAGCAGGCTAATTTTTAAGGTAATAATTTTGCACGGCCCTGACTTAAATTAAATATCCAATGGCCCTTGGGAGAAAAAAGGTTCCCCACCCCTGATGTAGAGTGACCAACAACTCTTCTGCCTTACAAAGATTTAAAAACCAAGTACAGGAGAGCAAAATCGAGTTTAGTATGAATGGACTAAA